CTGTGTGCTTTTTTTGTTCAAAGGAACCAGAATGCTACAAAATGTGTACTTGAGTGAATGAGCCACGGAATCTTCAGGAAGTCTCCTTGGTTTTGCTGCTTATTTAAGCATTGTCTGTATATTTCTTATTTGAAGTTGTTAGGGGCCTCAGGTTTCATACTTCCTTACATTGATGAGAACCCTTGCCCAGTTAACAACATTAGGTTATCAGGTGATAAACTATGGCTTTCAGAAGGTGAGGCTGCATGCGATGCATTTAGTAATGTGTGCTGGATTTTCCTACAGGAATAGGTTTTGGAGACCGCACAAACACCTTCTGTGGCACCCCTGAATTCCTGGCTCCAGAAGTCCTGACAGACATCTCGTACACCCGGGCAGTAGACTGGTGGGGATTGGGTGTGCTCATTTACGAGATGCTTGTTGGTGAGGTAAGGCCACCTCTCTCCAAGACGATCTCGCTAAGCAATCTGAGAGAGAGTAGTATCCAAACATCTGAGATAAAATTTTGCTGAATGTAGTCAGCTATTTATTAGTACTTTAAATTACATAGTGCTTGCCAAACACTAATTAAGCCATACAACTCCCTGCTATTCTCATCCCTATTTAATAGTGAGGAGTGGGTGCTATGTGGATTAAATAATAAAATGTCACCGTTACAGTCACCATTCCCTGGAGATGATGAGGAAGAAGTCTTTGACAGTATTGTCAACGATGAAGTCCGGTATCCACGATTCCTTTCCTCTGAGGCACTTTCTATAATCCGTAAGGTAATGGGCTTGATGGGTGACTGGGAACTTGAGAAATTTGCATTTACTGTGTAAGTGGATCCAGAGGGACTCTATTAGGGCCAGATAGCAACTGTGTGTGTAATCTGGAGCTGTCTACGCAGACTAAGATAACATTTAAAATTTACACATATTTTTCCTTTCCTTCTCCACATAAATGCTATTCTTCTGTCTGAGGACGACTAAGCAGCCTCACTGAGGTCTGCTGTTGCTGAGTCTGAAATGGAGAAGTTGATTCAAGGGCAGCAATGTCAGAGTCATTCAGTGGAGATGGCTCGATTCAGGTTTTTAAATGTGATACAGGTGTCACACAGTAGTCACAGGTGCACAATTCACATGAGATGCTTCATGCAGTTTATAGTGGGTATCTTATTGATGTTGGCAAGTTGCTTACAAGGAACTAGGTCTGAGCTATTACTTGCAGATTATGACCTTGCTGCAAAGTGAGAATGAGAAGATACTGAGGGGTCAGTCCGTCTCCTTTCTTTAGTTTTTCTCTCTGGAACATTATTTCTGTGCATCCTTCTTCCAGTTGTTTAATTTTGAACTGATGTTCCCTGCAGCTTCTTCAGAAGTGTCCAGAGCGTAGACTGGGAGCAGGGGAAAGAGATGCAGAAGAGATTAAAATCCAGCCCTTTTTTAAGGTAGGAACTCACTTTATCCCTCCCCCTCATCTCTTCTCTTTGAGCTGAGTGATTTGCTTTCTGTTGGTATTGAGGCATATTTCCATTAGTTATCAGTGAGATCTTGGTGGTAGCTTCTGTTGCACCTCATTTCTGTATTCAGGAATATGTGTTTCAATTAACGTTTGAAATTACAGCCCCCAAGTGTGTTTTCTGGGATCTGTAAGCTTCCAGAGCCAGTTTGATCTCAAGAACAGCCTCAGACTGTACTACCTGGCCTGCACCGACTCTGCTGTTTCTTTTGGCCTTTTTTCAATTCTCTTTTTCTCGTTCTTTGTAATTAGTAGAAGTAAGACATGTTGCAAACGATCTGGAAGAGAGGCTGCAATCCTCCCATCTTGCTTTCACATTTCACAAATAATCTGAGTGTCAATCTGGCCTATTTGCTGCCTTCTCTTACAGGAAATCGACTGGGATGCCTTGTTGGCCAGGACTCTGAAGCCCCCTTTTGTGCCCACTTTAAGAGACCCCACTGACATTAGCAACTTCGATGAAGAGTTTACATCCCAAAAGCCAATCCTTACTCCTCCAGAGGAGGTTGCTGTCCTAACCCGTAAGGAGCAGACTGTCTTCAAGGACTTTGAGTTTGTCTCCAGACACCTTTTAGATATTTGATTCCTGTGCTGTAAGAAAGATGAACGGATTGTTGCCATCTTGAGAGAGCGTCAAGAGGGCTTGGCATGGGCAATGGAAAAGTCAACAGAATTTGTAGAACTGGTAGTGCTGATGACCCCAGGAAGAACGTGCATGGTAAGCTGAGTTAACCTACTGTGGTTTTCTCAGCCTCGTGTTTTTGGAGGGGTACTGGATGTCAGTTATCTTTAAGGAGTGATTAATGTTTTGACTGGATGTGTCTTCTGCTGCCATTGAATATACATGAAAATTTGGTATTTAAGCTGGACTTAATTTAATGAAATCAAATAATCTCTGCAACCCAGGTTACTCTGCAAAAAGGCTAAGTAGTAGCAGAGGGAATGGCCACTTCTCGCCTGTTTTCTAGAACAGATATGCAGCATTCCCTCTTTGCAATGATTTTATGCTCATTCCCACTCATAATTATGTATGCCAGAGAAGGAATGGATTTTAACACAACCAAGACAATGATGCTTGGGTCTGATAATGTTCCAAGTGATATATCTTAAGGAAAAGGAGTCTCTTTCTACTTCTTTGAGGATGCTAAATCTTAGCTATTGTTTTTAATGATATAAAAAAAGCCACAGCTTTGCACATGCTATCTTACTGGAAAATAAAGATGCCTTTTCTTATAATGAAATTTCAGCTTTTTATCTCCTTTGTTAGCCGAATGCTTCAGATCAGGGCTAACCATAATCTGCTCAGCGGGTAGGATTTTATTTCTGTCTGTAAATGTCAATAGTAATATTTTCTTCCTTCCTTCCTTCCTTTCCTCTCACTCAAGTTGTCTGTACATACTGCATGGTATCATCAGCTGTCATGTACAACTGATTGCAAGTTGTCTCACCACAGATTTTATCAATGTGTATATCCTGTATCTTTTTTGGGACAGCTAAATAATCATAGTGTGAATATTGGAAAATTAGTAAGTTAAAGGTGATTTCATCTGCCTGGTAACATACCTTGTATTTTATACTTGATAAATGTCCTTCTCTTAAATTTATAATGCTAGCTTGTTGGGCAAAAAAAGGGTATCTAGAAATGAAGCATCACACTGACAACAAATAGGGGGGCACAGCTATTACTCTTTCAGTTTGTCTTCAACAGAGGTAGACAAAGGTTGAACTAACGCAATTGTGACCTACCTGGAGATAAGGTGCAGCTAGTGAGCCGTCATTGTGAAATCGAGGCTGGTCTAAGTACTTCAGAATTCAGAGGTAGGAGCATGTGTTTGTGCAAAACAGAAATAATTCACACTGAACCTACATTTCCTATTCTCAGAGCCAAGTACAGCTGCTTCTGAAAATTCCCACATACAAATATCCTTTCAACCTCCTGCTTTGCCTTGCATCATAACGGCCCATTTAAAGCAGGGTACACAATTTCCTCACCCTTGTTTGCATAGCAACGGCTTGCAGTTGGCTGGGGCAGTGTTTTGTGACTTTTCTTAAGGTCAGAGCTTCTGTAAAGTGGTAAGCAGCACAGCAGATTGTTAGCGCAGGTGAAACCTAGAACTTGGGCTCAAAGAGAGAGGCATTAAGAACCAAAAAAAAGGGGTATTTAATATTTTAATTTAAAGTTTATAGTACAATAAAAGGATGATAAATTACCATCCTGGTGCATTTAGAAAAGAATTACCAAATAGCAAAACTGTGTTCTGAGCTGACAAACTTTTATTTGACTGATACCTGAAGAACCAGACATTGCCGTGTGGCAGAAGCCGCACTTCAGCAGGCACCGCACTGACACAGCCAACAAGCAGAATCCTTTCTTGATAACCACTGTTACGAAAACAATACTTAGCGTTCTGACATCCCTCTGATAGGAGTTTCTACCCTGGACAAACCAGACTGGATGCAGGTTACCAACTCTGGAGTTGGTCAAAAAGGGATCTTCTGCTGGTTTTAAACTGCGTGTGGACTGTAATGCTGTATTAGTGACCACTCTGTCCTTTCGTGAGTGCTCATGAACTCTAAACCCTGAGTGCATCCTACCAGCTTGCCAGATGTGCTCTTGAGCTGGTGTTAATAATTCCTGAGCTGAGGCAGTTAAAGCACAAAATAATTTTAAAGACCTGAGCACAAAGTTAGCTGCAGAAATAATTCAGCAGGCAAGTATTACTTTTCTGTCCAAAGAAAAGCGGATGGTATCACCCTTTGCTGACTTCAACATAGTCTGTGAATTGTTAACAGCACCATCAACTTAAAGAAAAATCTGTTAGGAAGCTGGTCAGGGCATCACAATGTACAGGCAAATTATCACAGACGCTGAATTCGGTGCCTTACAGCTGTTTGTCATGCACATTAACACTATTGAGCCTCAAATCTTTGTGAAAAGTATGACGTTGAGGCATGTGGTCAAAATGAAATTTGCTTTTGACTCCAAATATTTACTCAAATATTTGTATTACATGCCCAACACCACTGACAAAAGGCACTGCAGTTCTCACAGTCAGAACTATGTTGAAGAAAGGCCATAGGAATTATCTTGATTCTGGCTGTAACAGCTGCTGTTCCCTAGCAGCAGCAGGAGAGGGAAACTCGGGGCAAGAAAAGTGACCATGGATGCTCACACTACTCTTGCATCTCTTCTGAAGAGATGTGGATGCAGTCAGCAAAAGGAAATAAATTGAGAGAGAAACCTTTGCTCAGTCCAGAAATCAGCCCTGTTTACCTTCCCAGAACCAGTGTCTCCCTTTTAACAGTGTTATTCATATATAAAAAAATAACCCTGACTATCCTTGAAGTGTAATTTGCAGGATGAACAGGTCGTGGACCAGGCTGCGTAGTTCATGATGTACTGAAGTTCTGTGCAGGAAAGCAGCAGCAATTGCATTAGCAGGGCTTTGCCCAGCAACCTGTAGATGTGTTGGCACGCTACCAGGTAGGTACCACTGTGACTAGACAGGCTCACTGTTCCTCTGAAAATAGATTTTCTCCCATGCAGTGAGGTGGCATGAACAGAAGAATCTCCAGAGATTGAGGATTACCCCTTGGTCAAAGGGATTCTCCAACTCGGACTGTCGCAGGTAGGAGATGCGATGATGTGACATGAATTCCCAGGTGGTGGTGTTGCAGGAGATCAGATAGAGGTGTGAAACAAGCAGCAGCAGGACTACAGTGGTGAATATGATGATCAGGAGGAAGGATGTGAGGAGGAGGATGTTGTGCTGTAGCCAGCCCCAGGACTGCTCAAAGTAGAGGCCTGACCTTTCAATTCAAAGAGGAAATAAATTCACGGTTAGAGATGTAGAGCTACTTACATAAGCCAAGCAAACTTGATGGCACCTTTGGGTTTGATTCATAACTAGTGAGCTTCTCATAATCATTTACTGCAGAGAATGAATATCCTATAAACTCTTAAGAGACTGCACCAGTAGTGACTTAGAGCCTAAGAAGTTTCAAAGATGCTGGTTCTCCTGACAGCTGAGAGAGACAATCATCTCCAGTTAGCTCCTCTCCTTCCTGC